AGAAAAGAAAAAATATAATCGTTCGTTGTAACGTTATGTGCGGATTATTTATATGCGGAATTGAAAATTTCCGTCCGATTTCGAAGAAGTCGTCACGGTAATAAGTATCGCGAGAAGAGAAATTCTGACCAGAATTACGAAAGTACGTGGAAGGGAAAGGATAAGAACGCGTATAAGAGCGTCGAACCTTCCCGAAATATGTATTTCGGCAACGACGTGGTGTTCAAGAGGAACGTCGACTTCGATGATTTCGATACATTTCAAAACGGGTAACTTGAACCTTTCTTTCTCTTTTTTTCTTTTTTTCTTTTCGTCGCTCCTTTCGTCGTCGTCCTCGAATCGAACTGAAAAAATTTCCCGACCCCCGATTTGTTTTTCTTCTGAAACCGTTCATACATATCTCTTTCGTAGATTGAACAAGAAAGATATTCATCCCTCTTCCGACTACGACAAAGACACGGCGGGCGAACAAGTTCCGAAAGATTGGACGAAATCGAAGGATCTTTGTTCTCTGAACGATTGGTTGAACTTTAACAAGAATCTCGGAGGGAAACGGGACAAATCGGGGAATCAAATGATCCACGAATGCGAAACTAATCAAAAAAATAGATTTAGTACGATTTAATAATTTAATAATCCCGTAACGTTTTCTTTTTCCCTTTTTTTCTTCTTCTTAGATTTATCGTATTTATCGTACGATTTCCGTACGTCGCGTACTGACTGGAAGTGAAAATCATATTAAACAGATTCTTTGGGCTCCGACAAATCGAGCGCGAAAGGGGATATAGTGAAGTTTAACGTGAGAAATCAACGAGATGAAACGCGGAAGAAAGAGGCGCCGTCGCTCGAATCTTTGAAGGAGACCATATTAGAATTGAAGAAAAATCTCAAGGAGGCGGACAAAAAGCAACACGACAATTTAAAAAATGAGGATACCGGGGAAGTCGACGAGAACGAGAACGACAAGCTGCAAGAGCACAAAGATCGGACGACTCGCGCAAAGAACAAGCATCGAAAAATCGAGAATGACGATGACGGTGAGGGGAAAAAGAAGAGAGAGAGAGAGAGAGAGAGAAAGAAAAAATGTTTCTTCTTCTTCTTTTTTAAACTCTCCTCGTCGAGGAAAGGAGTTTAAAAAAAAAAAACGTTTTCCGTTACCACGCTAAATTTCCAAATTTCCAAATTTCAGCCAACTCCGATTGGTGGGAAAGTTCGAACGGAATGGAAAGGTTCGATTTGAAAAAGCGGGAGCAGGATTCGGAGGATGCGGATGAGAAGAACGCTCATCTAAAAGTGTGGAGGACGAAGAGGACCGAGGTTAACAACAACAACAACGACGACGACGGTAACGCGAAACTGTTTCACAGATCGGGGTTTGGGGACCCGTACCTTGAGGAGAAAGAGAGCCTGAAAGAGATCCACGACCGCAAGAGGCGTAGCAAGGGGACGCCGTCGGACGACAAGTGTTACGCGAACGAGGCGCGTAACGAGGATAAGAACGGCGTGGGGAAGGGGGGCAATGAGAAAAATCTGCTCGAGATATCGAGGGCGGGGAACGACGTTCGGGCGAGCACGTTCGAGAAGATGGAGTCCAACGATTTGCGAGGAGTGGACGCGTTCCGTATGGAGAGCAAACTGACGAGCGACGCGGGGGAGAAGGGCGCGGAATCGAAGGGAGGCGCAAGGGAGGCGCGAAAAGACGAGGGGAAGAACGCGGGGAAGAACGTGGTGGGTGGAAATTACCAACAATCGGGCCTGTCGCAGGGAAAATCGATGGGGATGGAGGGCAAGTTGACGAAGGAAGGAAAAGAGAATCTCGGGGAGGGGAATTCTTTGCATAGCTCGGAATCTATGACGAACGAGTTGCCTGGCGGTGTTGCGGCGG